GCTCTAAATGCATGGATGATTCCTGTATTTTCAAAATTTCTTGGCCTACTTTGTTTTCATTTGCTATTTGGGGAGTTTGGTTATAGAGTAATGACAAGTTGTAGGGATTCTAATTTTCAAGATTCTAATTTTCAAGATTCTAAATGGTTTCCTTTTATTATTGATAAAACTATTGAATTTTGGTTGGTTTTTCCTATTCAGTCTAAGGCATCTAATAGGCAACATGTCCTGTTTTGTTGGGATAAATCACTTCCAAATTTTGCTAATTTTGTTCACATTGATGGTGCTGCTTTAGGCATACCCTGACTTGCTGTTGCAGGAGGGATCTTTAGGAATCGTAATGGCAATTGGATTATGGGGTGTTCCAGGCATATAGGCATTATTAATAGCTTAAGTGTTGTGCATTATGCTATACAAGATGGCATCTAACTGGTTGTTGCTTGGGTGTCATTAAGTGCCTCTTTTTTTGTACCATTCAATTATTATTTGCCAATGTTTCTAATTCCAATTCATTAAGTACTTTGATCTTGAGTAACATAAAATTTGTGAGCCATTTGGCTCAAACTCAACTGCAACACATTGTTAAAGAGAATAATATGTGTGCTGATCAACTTGTCAAGATGAGACGTCTCTTTTCTTCCACTTTTGTTATGGGTTATTTTTTTAGACTTACATTTCGTCTGCTGATGTACTTGGGGTAAGGTTCACCCTCTCAAATCCCATAATGTACTCTCATTTTTTTAATATAATTTTTTATTTTGAACAATTACAATTTTTGAAATAAGGAGGAAGGTTTGAAGCTACCTTATTAACTTTTCACTTCTCTAGAATTTGATATTTCTCATTTTTATTTAAAATGCTTAAATTGTTTCTTTTTTTAATTTCAATGTTATAGATCCCTCTTAATTATATAAAGTTAATTTTTTGATATTATATATCTTTTAATTAAATGAAAGTGTATATAACATTTTAGATAAAAATAAAATATAGATTTATACACAAATATATAATTCTGCCATCTATCTTTTATTAAAAAAACTGATATATGTTAGAGAACTGTAAAAATGCATATAACATTTTTTATTATAATTAATTCTTAAAAGTAAATAATATTTTACATAAAAATAATATTTATAAAAATTAAAAATATAAATTACTACTTCTTTGTAAAGTTCCCGTGCGTGGCAC